AGTGTGTGTGTGAGAGAGAGAGAGAGAGTGTGTGTGTGTGTGAGAGAGAGAGAGAGAGTGAGTGTGTGTGTGAGAGAGAGAGAGAGATAGTGAGTGTGTGTGTGAGTGTGCGTGTGAGTGAGTGAGTGAGTGTGTGTGTGAGTGAGTGTGAGAGATAGTGTGTGTGTGTTGAATTTTTGAATCTCTTGAGGATCCTTGAAATTCCAATCAGGATCAAAACAGGAAGTAAATGTGTAACAAACATAAAATATCAGTTACTGATTTGTGTGGATTCTGTTGGAAACAAAATTACTGAATGCATTAAAATATGAATTTATTCTATATACAGTCTTGATTTAGGAGTGTTTATATAAATGTTGCATATTATTATTTTACACCACAAAAAGTGATTTTTTTTGACATTCTTAAATCAATAAATATATTTTTGTTACAAAAAACAAAACTTGTTTTCTGAGAAATGTATGAAAATTATTTGAGATTTATGCTTAAAGTGAGAAAATATATAACAAAATAGAAAGATATTCTTGTTTTCCCTTTAAATTACGTTTATTTTCCCGACCCCTTTGGCAGATACTTTTGTCTAAGCATAAACTCACTTCATTTTGGTAAATTTCTAAGAAAACAAGACTTCTTACCTTATGTGTTTTTGCATCTCAAGAAAATGATTGTCTTGACTTATAAATATGTTTAGATATTTGCACTGGAAAACAAGACAAAAACACTTAGTGAGAAAATCTAATTTTACAGTGTTTTATGATGAACTTGTGAAGAAAAGAAGGTGATGAAATAGAGACAAAATTGTGGAAAAACTAAAGAAATGGTGAGCAGTTACAACACTTTCCCACATGTATGTGAAGCTGAGTGTGTGTGATTGTGTTTCAGGTGTGTATAGTGCGAGTTACGGCTCTGATCTAGCGAACTGTAACGTGACCGTGTGGAATCCTCTCGGGAACGGACTGTCCTATGAAGACTTCGCTTTCCCTGTGTTTGCTCTGAAAGACGAGAATCAGACTCAGGTCATCCGTAAGGTGTGTGTCTCTCTCTCAGGTGTGTGTGTGTTCATCACAGTGCTGTATGACGCGCGCGCGCGCGTGTGCGTGTGTGTGTGCGTGTGTGTGTGTGTGTGTGCGTGTGTGTGTGTGTGTTTGCAGTGTTACGAGCATCATAACCTGCGTGTGAACGGAAGCGCTCCTCAGTATCCGCTGTGTGCCATGCAGCTCTTCTCACACATGCATGCTGTGACCGACACTGTGACCTGCATGAGACGCACCGACCTGCAGAACCGATTCGGCATCAACTCAGGTACACACACACACTCTCTCTCACTCTCTCTCTCTCTCTCTCTCTCTCTCTCTCTCTCTCTCTCTCTCTCCC